AATGAAAGAAAGACCGGGCCAACTTCCGAGTAACACCGAACCCAATCCAAGAATGGAGAATGTAAGTGTAATAACCTCCAGCAGTGAAGGAACATTTACAGAAGCACTAAGAATCTCCAAGAAGAAGGCAGAAAAGGTAGAAGAATCGGACCCAACAAAACCCGATCTGACTCGCCGAGTCACTCCATTGGACTCGACGAGTCCATGCGCAAATGATAAACCTGTCAGTTCTTTGAAGCCTTATAAATCCTCCTCTGCCATACCCAATCAAAGCCATGCTACAGAAAAAGTAGACATACAGAACCTTCATGAAATATGTTAACGCTTTACAAGTTAATGTGCCATTTGTGGAAACAATGCTCCAAACACCTAAATACTTCAACTTGCTTAAGGGCCTTTTTGCTGCTAGGAAAGATTTGGCTGATGTCGCGAAAGTATTGATGAGTGAGCTACCTGAAAAGAAGGGTGATCCAGGAAATATTGTGATTCCGTGCCAATTTGGTAATGAAGCTTTCACCCAAGCATTAGCTGATTCGAGGGCAAGCATCAATCTGATGCCTTTTTCATTCTTTAAGAAGTTGAATTTACCAGAACCAAGGCCGGTAATATGAAGATCCATTTGGTGGACAAGACGATAATTCATCCACAAGGCATTTGTGAGGATCTCCTTATAAAAGTTGACAAGTTTATTTTTCCAGTAGACTTCGTGGTAGTTGATATGGAAGAAGACCCCGAAATTCCAATTATTTTGGGGAGATCATTCTTGAATACCGCATGTGCTTTAATTGACACTACTAGAAAAAAGGCCTTTTACGACGCTCATTACGCATTGTAAAACACTCAGACGACGCGCAAATGCGCGTCAAGGAAGGCCCTGTCATAAAGAGAGATGACGAGCTTTTGCGCATCGTCTATAGACGACGCGCATTTACGACGCGCGGTTATGACACGCATTGCGTATCAAGGAAGGCCCTATCATAAAGGAAGACGACACGCATTTGCGTGTCGTAACCTTACGACGCGCGTGTTTATGACACGCAATGCGTATCAAGGAAGCACCAGTCAAGAAAGTCATGTCATAAATGAAGATGACACACATTTTTGCGTATCGTAATTTTAATTTTTTTTTAAAAAACTATATGTTTATATATTTATTAATTTATAAATTAAATTTGCATTTAATCTCTCATAATAGAAATAAAATACCATATACAAAAAATACAATCCATTGCATAATATAAAATAAAATACCATATACAAAAAATACAATTCATTGCATTTAATTTGTATGTATAACAAAGACACATGTGTTAAACTTGTTACCATTAACATCTAATCGTATGGACTCGAGTGTTAAACTTGTTACCATTAATATCTGATTCATAAGTCCTTTCAACAAGATTGTTACCTGCATAAATGAAAACAAATAGGAACATTAACAGCCCAGCTATGAACAATATTGTTACCTGCATAAGTTACTAAGAGACTTATATACTCAGCTGGTTTGTAATATGGCACTAAGAAGCCCAAGAATTGTTTGTGTTTTTCCTGCTCCCGGTGGATCCTACATAGACAAAAGGTAAGAATTAACATTTTCAAAGTAAATATAAGAAAAGGGCATTATAGTAATTACCTCCATGCAATACTCAATGGACAGCTGGCTTTACTTGTAATAATAATTCATCAATTTTGCCACTCTTCTTCAAGGAGAACAAAGCCTCCTACTGATCAAAAGCATACTTTTTTGCAAAAGGAAGAATTAAAAATAATTATACCATGTAGATATATAAATCAAGAATGAAGGGGAATATGAATATCCTTAGAACTTTAATTTTACTCATTAAAGTAAAGAAACAAATAGATCATACAGTGGTTTATCCTTAGAAATTCCTTTGACATCATTCTCTGGAACTTGATCCTATAACAAACACATAATGTCATTGAGAAGTGACAAGATATGATAATAGAAAAAATAAATAGATAAAAAGCTGATGCAGATGGGTCGTCCATTGTAAAAGCAACAATACCCTGGGCAACATCTTAGTTTAATTTAACACCACGGACTTAAAAATAAAAATAGGAATTAAATGTACCTTATGTGCTGCTCAACTGACTTGGGTGGCAGCATCACTTATGGCATAAATTGTATTACTAAGAAGACTAGTAGTTCCTTGTGTCATGCATGTGATGAGTCCTGCTGGACTAGTCCACAAAGAAACAGAATGTCAATAGCTGATCTCAGGTAAGTTACGAAATCTTGAACTGAAGTGTTAAATTAGGTGGAAATGGAAATGAAAGGTCAACAACAGTATATAAATTAGGTGGAAAATGGAAATGAATTGAAATTTTTTGTTTTTTATTTTTACTTTTGTTGTTGTTGTTGTCGTCGTCATCATTATCATCGATGTCCATAATGCCTAAATCGTCCTCGTTTGTTTTATTGCCATTTGCAAGACTTCCTGGTTGAGCGAGTGCAGAAACTCCAAAGCACATGAAGTGTGAAAAAAAGGAACTATGTGAAGGAAATAAATCGATTTAGAAACTTTCATCTAAAATAAACCAAAAAAATGAAGAATTATATTAATAACCTCATCAAGAAGGAGTGGGATAAATATGGTGAGCATTTTGGCATATTATTCAGAGCAGTGGAAGTATCTGCATTGTTTACATTTTGATTTGAACCAGTTGAACCTTCGAGCAAAACAGTTGGATTTCTTGATGCTTTTGTAATTGCTCTAAGCTCATTAGCAAATTCACGTGCTTAAAAAAAAGAATTTTTAACTTTTTTAATATTTATTTATATTTGTACGTATGAATTATACTAATTAGTTGAACATACCTCATGCTTAAAAGTAGATTAAGAGAGCTGCAATAAGCTTTCCTCAAAGGACCTAAACAACTTTTGTCAAGACTCTGCATATAATAAATAAACATAATTTTAACACAAGTTCATTTTTTATATAAAATATTGTTTTAAAGTTTTGTCAAGACTCTGCATTTTTTATGTAAAATATTGCTACCAATTGTAATCGTGTTTTCATTGCTAGAAAATCATGGTTGACTTCTGCACTTACAGTTGTGTTGGTCAACGGCTATTGGGTTTGCGGTCAACCGACACTTGTAGTTCAATTATCTTGTTCTCGAGTCCTTAGGGTATTACCTTAATGTCTAGTGGGAACTTTTGAACGATGTCTGTGAGGGTAGCATCAAGCATGTCAAAGGGTCAACCATTAAAGAGATCTTCGAGTCTCTCTTCCCATCTGTCAAGAACAGTAATTCATAACTTCATGAAGTTTACAACAAAAAGAAAAAGTATTTGTCATAAATTAACATGATAAGACTGAGGGCATACTTTAGCTAATAACCTTGAACAAGCAAGCGGCTGAAGGCACCAGAACAAGAAACAAATCCAAATCTTTTAGAACAAGAAACAATGGGCACCAGAACAAGCAAGCGGCTGAAGGCGGCACCCAGTTGGGTTTTGGAGCGGAAAGCTTCACAGCGGTTCCTACCTCTGCTAACTCTCACTCTCAGGCAAACACAACACCTAATATACCACCAAATTACAATAATATCCTTCAAACTTCAAGCTATAAAATAGGAAGCAAGATTATAATGTGTTGAACCTGGCACCTAATTAATTAAATGATCACAAAAATAGTAATTACTAAATAATCCTAATCTGTACATGTTTATATAATATATAATATATAATTAATTACCTGAAAGTTAATAACAATGAAGAACAATGTACTTTCCGCTGTAATCTGGTAAAAAACGGAAAATGATTTTTACTGTTTTATAAATGGTAAAAAAATCAGTTGTGTGAAGAAGCAACCTGCAAGTCTCCCAAGCATTTGAATTGTGACACATTGGCCTGAAGATTTTTGCAAATAAGATCTCCAAAATTTCCAATCAATGGATTCTCCTTAGGTTTGTTGCTATTTTTGTATATAGAGTTTTGATTGTTTTTCTTCTTTAGTTACTCGTAATCTTGGACAAGTAAGATTCGATATTCATGATAAGTATCTGGTCCCAAAGGTGAACCAGGGTAAGTTGAGTGACCTGTCTGCAATAGCAAGAGAAAAAATTGAAATTGAAGTCCATTCAAGAATAAGAAATAAAAGCAGAAAGGATGATGATCAGGTGAAGTTATCAAAAGTTGTGAAATATCTAATATTTGGGATCATTGAAGAAAGAAACTTAAGGGTTTGCTTAGTTGGATGGAATTCTCGTGAGGAGGGCATTCACGTCTTTATCAAAGATATATCAAAGCAAGCATCAATAAGTTCAAATAATTACAATAGCAAGGAAAGATATAATGACAAAATATCACCTCTGAGATAGATATGTATATAGTGCACTGGGAAACACATTGAAGTGTGTAAATTGAATGTAACGGCAATGCCCTGAACAAAGATCTCTGAGAATGTCTTGTTGTTTGGTCCACTCCATATTTGAACTTAAATAAGCAGCATGTATATTTGCTTGTTATTGGATCCAAACACAAGATTTGATGTTCACTATAACAGATAAATGTGAATGTTCATAGGTTAAGGAATCATCAGACCATTAGCGTGTTTTGGTTCCCAAATCAGAAAAAGAATCAAATTTGTCCCAGAGAAGAAATAAGCCCTAACAGTGATGAATAGGAAAAAGTAACCATTTTAAGCAACAGTTATTATACCTGGTAGAGAAGAAATAAGGAGCTTTGCTAACCCCTATCGCAGCCATTAATCTCTGTATCCTCACACAGCCACACAGGGAACATGGAGCAATCTCAGAAGTCTCACAGGTCTCGTCAATCTGGCCCCTCACCAAGATGAAATCTGATACTGATAAGAAGAAACGAGGACTCACTGATGATAAGAAACGAGACCCTAGTACTGATAAGAAGAAACACGACCTCACCGATGATAAGAAGCGAAACCCTAAGGTTTTTCGAATGTTTCTTGATTTTCCAGAACAAGATAAGAACAGGTGTGGTGTGGACTTACAAGTAAGGTTGTAGAGGGGTGAATAGGAGGTTGAGATCGATCCCGAGAGATGAAAGAAGTTCAGCTACCCGGGAACATGCTAAGACCGGAGAAGAGCTCTTTTATGAAGTTTAGCATCACGAGCGAACCCGATAATTACCTGATGGAAAACCGAGAAGATGAAGGAAGATGAACTTCATCATCTTCATAAAGAAAGGTCAGAGATAGTTAGAGACAGAGAGGGAGGGCGGCATACAACAACGAAAAACTTCATCATCATCTTCCACTGCCTGGCGGTGTGTGATTCGCGGCGACGACGTGATTAGGGCAAGAGGGAAACAACCATCGAAATTGATCGGAAAGCACCTCCGTTCATCATCATCGGCAGATCCATCCTAGTCTCCCTTCTTTCCGTCACTTCTCACAATAGAGAAACAAGAGGGGAGAGTTGATTGTGAAGATGAAGAAAAGAAAGCGGGTTTTCAAAATTTTAGGGTTTCGTTTTCCCCCGTTATCTTCTCAAGGTGCGTTTCACTAAAATTATAAAGCGCACCTACAGAAGACGCACGTTTAAGATAAAGCGCCCTTCGTGTTTTTTATTTTTTTCTTGAGACACTAATTTAAGAGCGCAAAAAAATACGTGTCCACTATCCTTAAAATTTTGGAAGTCTGACATTATTTTTAAGGGAGCCCAAAAATGCGTAACGTGAATCAGCGAGTGTCATTGTTTGCGCGTCATTAAAGGCTATTTTTCTTGTAGTGTGATATATGTGAGTCTACATTGACATTAAGGGTGGGTGATGAGTCTGTAATGTTTAAAGCTATTCCAGAAGCCAAGCAAGAAGAGGAAAAGAATGAAGAAATCTCAATGATCCAATTGGATGATGAGATATTAGAAAAAGAGCTTGCACGTTTGCTAAAAGAAGATCCAAGCAAGTTTTTGATACACTCTGAAGAAGATGGAGATGTTAACAAGGACTTGGAGGAGTTAGAAAAGCTACTGGAAGGAGCCAACTCAGAAAACACCCAAGAATTGATGGAACCCGCTCAGACTCCCCGAGTCACTTTAATGGACTTGACGAGTCCAGTCAACTTTGGCAAAGACTTGGCCGACTTAGATCTGTTTGTTACTAGTTTTTTACATACCTTGGATTTCGATATTATTCATGATTCTTTAGAAGAACAAACTGCAGAAGGAGGAATGGGAATGAAAGTTCAATACGCCAATGTAGTATGTCTTGATACAATTTCGTTTGAAGAAGGGTTGAGCACAGGCAAGGATGAAGAGACAAAGAAAAGGAGGGTGGAAGCTGATCAACCATTCACTACTAAACCTAAAGCACGAACTGTCACAAAATATGAAGTAATTAAATTTAAAGAGAAGGAGGTGCAAAAGAAGGCGAAAAAGAATGGGGTAACGAAGAAAAAGAGGAAAAGGGAAGCCCAAGCAGCTGAGGATGGTGCTGTGAAAAAGAAAAGAGAGGAATTAAAAAGGGCTTATAAAAAGAAGATTCACGCTTACAAGACAAAGTACAAACCACAAAAGATAAGGTGTGAATTCCCGATGCTAGAAGATGACGAGACGTAGACGGGAAGGAGTCCAGCTAACGACTCCTTAAAAAGAAGCGCTTGGCGGGAGGCAACCCGTTATTTAGAGTTTGCTTTCTTTTACCTTTTCTTTTGATTGCATTTTTTCTTTCATTTTTAGAATTTTAATCTTCCAATTTGTCGGATATGTTTGCTTGAGAGTGCGTATGGACTAAGTGTGGGGTGAAAAAAGTTTTCTTTTTTAAAGAAATTACAAAAAGTGTTAAAAAATTTGGATTTTTCCAAGAGACTCGCCGAGTCTAACCATGACTCGACGAGTCCGTACAGATTTTAGAAAACATCATGCATCGCGACCAGACTCGGCGAGTCTGGCCCCGACTCGAAGAGTCGGTATTATTCACAGATAAAAAAATAATAACATATATTTTATAACAACTGGTTTAACCCTAATGAATCAGTTTCTTTTCACACACACTCGCCGTGCGCCTCTCTCTCAACTCTCTCCCAAGCATTCATCTTTTTCCTTCAATTATTCTTCAAATCTTTCAAGTATCATCTCAAAAGGTAATGAATTTCTTCTTGTTTTCTGTTAAGAACATGATTATAAGGTTGTATATGATGGACATTGCAAGAAAAAAACCCGATTTTGGAAAAGTAGTAAATTCTAGGGTTTTGATTTTTCATGGAATATGATGTTTTACTTGCTTATTCGTGCTATACATGTGTCTAGACAAAACCCTTGAAGTGATTTGCAGGTTTCATGGCCCAATTTAAGTATACTCGCCGACTGACTCGTACAGTTCATGCGACTCGCCGAGTCATACATGGAGTCGACGAGTCGAGTAGTGGAAACCTGTGCATGACTGTTTTTTAATTATGATCTATGTTTCTGGGTTTTTGTATCTTTGTTTTGCAGAAGTATGTTTAGCAGGAGGCAGAGTTCAAGTGCAAACCAAGAAGATTTTCCTTGGTGAAACCTTCCACGAATCGAGTCCGCTTCAACAATGCGGAAGTGGAAGAAGAAGCTGGCTGACATGCGGAAAAAAGAAGTGTACGTGCCTAACAAGATAGATTGGGAGTGGTTACAAAGTGTGAGGTATGAAGAGGAGTTAGCTCCTTATCTTTTGAAGGAGTTTACCCATGGAGGCGAGACAATGATTTGTGACGGGTGGAGCCGGGTCTTTCGGATTCAAGAGTCGGTGTACTTGGAACTATGTTTAGAGTTTTTCTCCACGGTGTCTTTCACGGGGGGAACGGATTTTTATCACCCAAAAAGTTTTAGTTTTCGCCTTGGGGGTGAACTTCATCACTGTTCAGTGATCGATCTTGCTTGTCGGTTGGGGATATATGACCAGCCCTTGGTTTCAACACCTATCTTTCGGGCCTTCTTGGAGCAAACTCATATGGTGTTTCCCGACGGAGTAACTAGCACGGGTTGGTGGAACACAATTGGAAACAAGGTTTATATTCCAAATTCGGCACAAGAAGGGAGCATTAGATCACCTACCCACCGCCTTATACATCGTCTCATTTCTTCCACCATTAATCAAAGAAAGGATGATGACAAGGTTTCTAACCTTGATGTCTTCTATCTATGGAGCATTATTACACCCGGTATTTTCTACAACATTCCTTGATGTTTGGCTTCGTATCTCACGGAGGGTGCGGTCAAGGATCGCAAAACTTCCCGTATTAATGGTGGTATGTTTGTCACCCGGTTAGCCAACTCATTTGGGTTGATGAACCGTGGTGCATGGAATTTTATGACGATGATTCCTACACCTCAATTCAATCCAATTCTTTTCCGGCGAGCAAGAATCATTGAAGACTATGGTGGTGGTCATTATGCTATCCCGCATGATGACCCCGTTGTTGGTCCCGAAGCACCGGGAAGGAGGTTTAGATCGAGACGGGAACGGGATGTGGAGGACGAGTCGCCGGTAATTCCGGTTGAAAATGAAGAAGTACCAATGGATTGGTACAATGTGGAGATGAGGCGGCTATAGGATCAAATGGCGCGTGGGATCAACTTCAGCAATCAATCCCACATCCAATTATTCGACCACTTCAACATCCCACATATTGATGGTGGCAATTATCCATTTATTCCGTCATGGGATGAGGTGATTAGTGCAAGAAGAAGTGGAGCAGCCGCGGATGATGATGAGGAGGAAGATTGATTTATTTGTGTTTTAATCAAACAACTTTCATTTTCTATTTTTATTTTTATTTGGTGTGTATGAAATTGTTAAGACTTTATTTTGTTTAATGATTGTTTGCATTAGTCATTTTTCAGGATTGGATTAGGAATGCTTGCTTAGGAAGGGTTTAAACTCATAGCGAACGGGTGTTATAACGAGTGAAAGAGAGTCAAGGAAGTAAAGCGTTAAGGTCAAAGTGTCGAGTCCGGTCCCTAAGGATATGAGAAATTGAGTCTAGAAGTGAGGAGGAGTTAGAAGAGTTCTTAGAGACTGAAATAGTTGCAAAATACCATGTTTTTTCGTCCAGTAGCCTACTCGTCGAGTGCACTTAACTGACTCGACGAGTCGCCTTGTATTTCCACACATTCTGAGATGGCCGCGCTGGTACTCGATGAGTCCTATCTATGACTTGACGATTCGATCATTTTTATACCAAAGGACTGCTGATTTGATGCTGCTAAGTGTACCACTTGATCACTTATTCTTCCATATCGATTCTTGAAAACTTTGCACTGTTTTACCTGCATATTTGGAGCTGCCACATGAGATTTTGATGCCCAAGTCATGGATGCGTTGTTCCATGGCTAAAGTCAATTGAAGTTGGAGCTTGAAAGAAGAGTGTCAACCTATCGACTGCTACCCCAGGGGAGTTTGTTCCAATTCTCTCTATATTTGCATTTTTGCATAGTATGCAATGAGGGCATTGCATAAAATAAGTGTGGGGTAGGGGGTTAGTCACATATTAGGAAATTTAGAATGTTAATTTAGGCTAATTTTTTAAAAAAATGTTGCATACCAAAAATATGACTTAGGGATTTAATTTAAGAAATTTTGGTAAACAAAATTAGGATTCCATGTTAGAATTATATTTGATGATTGCATGAAAACCCAAATGTTTAGTTGAGCCTATATACGTTCTAGTGCATTTGTGGCTTCCTTATTCCAGTGAAATCATGAGACAAAAACACGACCTTGCTCAGCCTGAGGGATGCAATACGTTTAGCAGCCTAAACCTGAAATGTATCCAGGAAAATTTTTATCGTTAGCCAATAAAGGTTGAGATTGAGCGCCCCTGCTTAAGCATGTAGGGATTTGAGTGAAAAAAGTGAGGAATACATGTAAAAAAAAGAGAGAATTACTAGAAAAGTTGTAAGAATTTTGGAGCAAATAAAGTGAAGATCTAAAGATCAAAATTCCAAGAAATCCAAAAAGTTGAAGATACCAAAACTCAATCAATACAAGGTGGTGAATTCAAAGAGATCAAAGATCAAATTATCAAGGAAGTGAAGAATTCAAAAGAGCTCCATAGTGGTATCGAAAAGTTGTAATTCTAGATTATGTATGCTTGGGTTGCTCAATTAAAAATACCTTGAGGGTAAGAGGTTTTCTGAGGATGGATTCCGAGGGTTGCATAAAATGAGCATAGTTCGGGGTGAGTGGGCGAATGTTTATGA